CTCTCTCTCTCTCTCTCTCTCTCTCTCTCTCTCTCTCTCTCTCTCTCTCTCTCTCACTCACTCACTCACTCACACCCACATATGTAGAAGCCCATATTTACAGTCCAAATTCTTATACATTTTTCTGGTCATTTGCAAAAAAAAATATCTGAGCAGTTGCCATGAAGGGACATTTCCTGGCTGCCAAGCTGCCATTCCTCTTTCATTTAAAAGACTTTAGTAAACTTTGAAGGTAAAATGATGACATGTTGGCAAGTTTGCAACCAGACACTTTCCCCAGCTCCTGTGGTTACAGGTTGCTGTAATGCCTGTGATAGGATAGAGCTGGAATTATATTTTAAACAAGTTCAGGAACAGGGCACTAAATTTCAGGGTTGGGGGGAATAAAGGCTGCCCGGAGCAGGAGGCGAGCTGAGCAAATATTCTTGCCAGTCTAAAAGCAGGATACCTTTAAGTGGGAAAAGCCAACTTTGTTCTGGCTTCAGATGAAAAGTACAGAGCCAGAAATAAATCAAATCAGTTTCCAAAACCAGTCCAAGTCATAAGACCCAATAATGCCAGACCTGTTTTTGAACTGGTGTAAATGCCTTCATCCTACTGAATTCAGTCTGTAGTATAGGATTTTACTATCACTTTCTTAAGATACTATACTCTCTCTATAACAACATGTATGAAAACTGATAACAGTTTAGAATCATTCATTGTTTCCCAAAAGCATATTTCTGATATCTCTTCCATATCACTATACGTATTTCCCCTATAAATATTATACTTTACACTACCTGTTTATAAATGGGTTCTACTTCAGAAAAAAAATATATGAATTTGAACATGAACTCAGGTGAACAGTGTCTACAGCATCCACTGTTAGGCTGCTCAGAAAATAGTTCCAAATTGATCCTTCATGTTCCAAACTATGATCATAATAAAAGATTTTGACTTGATTTGATCTTTCATATTTTTGTCTTTAAAAGATGACTACATCTCCTTCAAGGGAACCTTTTACCCAAGTTGTTCCCCACACTTTCACCCCGAATCATAAATGTCTTACGAAGGTGTCATCCCTTACTTTCTCTTTTCTTCAGGCCTATGTGTTTTGTGAAGCAACTGGAGGTGCCTCAGTATGGAAGTTACAGACCCAATATGGTTCCTAGCACGCCAAGGGCCAACTTGGCCAAGGAGCTGGAGAAATACTCCAAAGTCACCTTCGATTATGCAAGTTTTGATGCTCAGGTTTTTGGCAAACGCATGCTTGCCCCAAAGATTCAGACTAGCGAAACCTCACCTAAAGCCTTTAAATGTAAGTTGAGCCTGGTCAGGACACCCATTGGGAGTGTCCTGGAGAATCAATTTATGGTTTTTGTGGTTATTTATTTATTGTCCAGTTGATTAAACCAAGGATTGCTCTGGTCCAGCTTCTTGTTTCCAACAGTGGATCACCAGATGTTCCTAGAACATGTATAAATACAGCAAAAATCCTTCTTTATTGAAGCTAAGCATGTCAGTTGCCTTGGAACCTTTTGGTCCCACTTTGCTGTGATGTCTACCTGATTCCTAATGGTTTCATCCTCCAAAACTTGTTGATTAAAAAAAAAACAACAGCTAAGATATTGTCATCAGTAAATCTTGTGCTGGTCAATTCCATAACTAATCAACTGAATTCGCACAATACATTTAATTCAGTTACTGTAATCCTAACAGTTACATTTGTACAATATGCTTAACCTGGTTAAGACAGGACAGCCATTTGAACCCGAATGCTATGAGGATTCCTTCACTGGGCAGAGGGTTGGACTAGAAGACCTCCAAGGTCCTTTCCAACCCTATGATACTATGATGAATCTATGATGATTTTATGATTCTATGATGATTCTATGACTAGTGTTAATTTTATTTATTTACTGGTCTTCATTCATTCATTTTGACTGTGAACCCAGCACATTTGGTTCATTTGTGATTGCGAGAATTCAGAAAGTAGGTTAATTCAGTAACCAAGTTAAGCACAATGTGTGAAGGCAGATGCTTCGTTTTAATCTATGGGATTTGGAACACCCATGTTCAAGTTCCCATCTAACTTCAGAGCTCCCTGAAGTGCCTTTGGGTTGGCCTCTCTCAGCCTAGCCTACCTCTCAGGATTATTACTGTGGGGATAAAGTCAAGGGAGCCCCCCATGTAAACTTCCTTGAGTAGGATACAAATGCAATAAATACAAACTTGTTGGGCCACCCTAACTTCTAATATTATAAGAGATTAATGAGACGTCACATGCAGGCATGTGTAATTTGTCTTGAGCACCCTTTTCATCCTGAAGAACCAGCTTCGGGGACAAGAGGAATGTGAACCAGGGAGGTCAAGCAGGTCATCCATCTGGGCCTTCCACCTGTTTTCCATCATCCCCAGAAAAATAAAGGATTCCAAAAACCAGCCAGCTTAATCTTCTTTGGAAAAAAACAATAATGAGTCTTGGATTCTTTAAGATCCACCCATTTGTTATATTTAGAAAAGTGAATGCTCTCCAGGCTGCTGGTGACCCTGCAGATCACAGCATTTGACAATCAAATGTGCCTGCTCTCTGTACTGCCCCTTCCTCGATCCTCATTGCTGGGGTCTCATCCCCTTGTGACAGAATGTTGGGTGTTCCAGAAAGAGATGCATGTTTGTTGAGGGAACGCCAGTTCTTTGCTCTTTGAAATGGAAAGGTACCTTATCTCCCCACGAGGCAAATATTTATTTGAAATGGACGTGGGGTTTTTTTCTGGCTAAAACCATTTCTGTGAACGAGGAACAGAAAGCGAACAAAGAAGTTAAGCTTTCATCTTCCCTCTCACCCTGAATTCCTCAGAGGCCTGCAATAAATATGGTTTTAATGGAAATTGTCTATGTTCTGGGAACTTGATAGGGCATCCACTTAGCTGCTGAATCTCTCACCTCGGAAAGCCTGATCATAAATTCATCCCTCTGCCCAGAAGCCCAATCCAGAACTTTTGTCATGATTGCGTAGGAAAACATTATTGCATAAGAACGTAAGAGCTTTGATGGATCAGTCCAAAACTTCTGGGGCCAACAGGTGCCTTTGGGCTACCACAAAATCCAGGAGGTGGGGCCAAAGCATTCATTTGAGCCCTTTCCCTTTCCCTCTGATTTTTCTGTATCCATTAAATGGGGGG